CCCATCAGCTGTGTGATGGAATGACTGCTCCTCTCTCCTAATGCTTCCCCTGTGCCTAAAAATCCAAGAAGTGCCTCCAGTAATCCACTAAGGACAATAAATACATGCAGGGAGGTGTTGATTCTGGTGTGATGGAGCTGCTCTCCCAGGAGAGCTCGAAATGTTCTTTCCTTGCTCAGTGCCTGGCGACGTATCTGTGAGAGGAAGGAACGGTCCTTATAAAAGCTCCCATCTTCCAGGAGTGGGAATGTGGGGGCTGATCTTCCTGTTTAAGATAACAGGGTTATCATTCCCTAAAAAGAGGGGACATCCACGAGATCCCAACCAGCAGCATCCATACCAAGGCTGTCTTCTCTGACGCTTTACTCGCCTGCAAAATTCTTCCCGTGTTTTTTTATTGCAGCAGCTTCTCTGCTTTGCCTTTTTGTGTCACATTTCTCCTGTGAAACAGCTGGTCTGTCACCACCTCTGACCAGGGAGGAGCACGCGTTCGGATTTCTGCTGTGGAGTGCTGGGGTTTTCACAGTCGTTACGTAGCACTTTAAAGCCCCACGGGGCAGGAGATGGAGCAGGAGGGAGCTGTGTCCCTGCTCATCTTTTACTAACAGGATGAAAAGCCTTTTACTAACTGTAATAAATTGGTTTGATGCTTGACACCCGGCTTCCCGTGAGTTTGTGAGATGAGGAGCAGGAGGGGATGCTCTGAAGGGCTCTGCTGGCAGCGACACAGAGAGACTGAGGACGCTGGTGTCAGGAAGAGGTGACAGGATTCGGGGACAGCTTCCAGACCTCGTTTTGGAGCAAGCACAGCAAGTCTTCCTGTCGGTAGTTGGATGCCCAGGATGAAGAGGCAGCTGAGCTGTGGAAGTCACGGTGCCTGGCCCTTGCTCACCCCTGTGTCCCTTTTGGGACAAACAGGAAGCTTTTGGGACAGAACATACCTTTCCATGCCCTCTCCATGCTGCCTTTTCCACAGGAGGCCCCTCAGCGCTCTGCTGTGGCATCCCATGAACTCCCCTTGCTTTCCCAGCTTTCCTGCTTTCCCAGCTCCGGCTCTTACGGCCCAGGTATGTGAAACACATTCAAAGTACTCGGAGCTTTGCGCAGTGGAGCTCAGTCAGTCCCTTTTCCACCCAAATGAAGTCAACGCTGTTCTGAAGGAGCTTATTTGTGTTCAGAGAGCTCTCCTTTATGTCCTATCAGTGCCAGCCCCAATTATCCCCTTCCTCCACTCACCCAAAAGGACATTAAAACACACCAACTGCATCTGACCGATCCCTTTGTCCCGTTTCCACCCAGGAGACCAGAATTCAGAGAATTCTCAGGGAAATCACCCCACCTTTGTGGGAGGCCGGTGGCTGATCCCTCTGGTATCGAGTTAATGCCCGAGGATTGCGGTGAGCTGGGATTACCCCAGGGCAAGTGAGGAGCACTGCGGGTCACTGGGCTGCAGTGCCAGGCCTGGCCAGGCTCCTGGTGTGCCAGACAACGATTAACATTCCACCTGGGAACCTCTGTCCTGTTACAACCGGGAGACTCTTTTCCTCTTGGATTTCCATCCTTGTCAGTCCTTGGTTACCCCCCTCTTCGTGGTCACCTCAGTTTTTCTGCTGCCTGGGTGTTTCCTGCTGTGGTTGACAAATGCGGGGTCAGGGTCTGAAGAGCCGGATGCACCAGTGCTGGAATTATGTTGGGATATAAAGGGGCATTGTGGATTGTGAGATAACAGGGAGAAACTCTTCCCCATGAGGGTGGGGAGGCCCTGGCACAGGTTGGGCAGAGAAGCTGTGGCTGCCCCTGGATCCCTGGAAGTGTCCAAGGCCAGGTTGGAGCACCCTGGGCTAGTGGAAGGTGTCCCTGCCCATGGCAGTAGGTTGGAATGAGATTGTCTTTAAGGTCCCTAACTGCCCGTGGGGTTCAGGCCATGGTGGGTGTCAGACCCCCCATGTGTATTTGCATCGTCATTTCATATGTAAATCATATTCAAATCACCCCCGCGCGCGGCCGAGCCCGACCGGGCCTACTGCGGATCTACCCTCGCCCCCCCCGTGTTGCCACGGTTACCCGGCCTGTCAATCACCGCGCCTTCTCCCGCCTCCAACAGGCAGCGCCCTCAGTCATTGGACAACTGCCGTGTCAATCTCGCACTAAAGGGAGCCCATAGGCCAGCGTTGCCGCATATCGACCCGCCCCCGCTGGCGCACGCTTCCCATTGGACAGCCGCGCGTGTCACTGTCCGCGGCCGAGCGCGGGGCGCTCCGCAGCCGCCCCATCCCCGTCTCCCATTGGAGGAGCCGCCTGTCGCTCCGCGCGGCGGGGGGCGCGGATTGGCGGGCGCCTCACGGGGTGTCCCGCCCCGCGGGGCCGCGCGGCGCAGGCGCGCCGGGGGCGGTGGCTGCGGCGGCGGAGCGGGAGCGGGAGCGGGGCCGGAGCGGAGCCGGAGCGGGAGCGGGGCCGGGCGGCCCATGGGGCCGGGCCGCGCTGCCCATGGAGCCGCCGCGCAGCTGCGGCGATGGCGCGGAGGAGGAGAAGAAGCCGCGGCGGCGGGGCGGCGGCGCGGACGCGGGGCCGCCTCAGCTCCGGCGGCGGAACAGTGGCGGCGCGGCCGGCGCGGCGGGGCCGCAGCCCCGCGAGCGCGGCGGGTCCGTGAGCCGGCAGCGGCGGGACTCGGTCCGCAAGAACCGCCCGCGTGAGTGAGGG